CAAGTTAATTTTGGGGCACAAGGTCAGGCGTAGTGCGTACCACATCAGTTTCGAATGGCGAAGTGGTTAGTGTCCCTACCAGTTCATGGTCATTTGCAGAAGAGGCACCATCTACGATTTTCAGCAAAGTTAAGACTTTTTTTTCTACATACCTCATCTTGTAGTAGGTGTTCTCTTTACGTGTCTCTTTTCAAAGTACTGTCTCAACCAAGCATCGCAAAATCTGATGCTAAATCGTTTGTGTCCAGAAACAATGACAACATGAAAATGGACGTTTAAGGCAATTTCAAGTTTTAATCCATATTTAAAATAGGAAAGGTGAAAAAGCCGTAGAAGCCCAACCAAGAAGCAATCATTCCAAAGAGGAATGTAAATGTTGAGCTAGACGACGTTTTGTAATGAAGACCATAGGACCGTAAAGAACAGTGTATAATGTGGAGGTCAAAAACTTCTTATGAAGTCGTAAAAATTTGGAATTGTTAAACTAGTGTAAGGGAATGACAGTCATGGTGGACAGGTCGAACCGGATGAAGGTGCAGGAAAGTTCTTGGAGGGCTTTGAATGGCTAGAAAAGAAAGTTTAAGTCCCCAAAAAAAAAGATTGTGTAGCAGGCCACGAACCTTGGTGATATGTTACCCGGAAACAGTGGATCTTTTGCTTCCGCGCACCGACTCACACACCAATGAATCAGCGAGTCGAATAATGGCCACGCAACATCCGAATCAAGGTCGATCGCGTCCAACTACAAAACATTTCACGTGAACTGAACTGTCACTGCGGTTCATAGTAATTATTCTGAATCAATTTTTTTTAAATTTTTTAAAAAGAGCTCTAAATCATTAATATAGCGTCGATTTATTTCCCATCTTTCTCGTTTTTTACAATTATTTGGCGCATTAAAATGCAGCGCTGATCTTCCAGAGCAGAATGAAAGGTTCAACTCCGCCGGTGAGACTCCGCCGGTTCTCTAGGAATCTTTCATTCGTTTCGATGATTAACTTGTACTGTTGCAAAAGGACTAAATCCCCTTCGCTTTGCCCAGTTGCCTTTCGGTTCCCTGTGATATGCAAATGTCCCGTCTCTTGACTTGAGTTCCTCCTCCGTGATATTTAATGTGCTGATTAGAAATGAACTGGAGATTGATTGTTTTTGTTGAATCAAGAAGTGTGCAGCGGCAGCTTGGAGTCGTTGCCGTTTCCACTGTTGCTCGTTTCCGGTGGCGGCTTGGAGCTGCTATTGGGTAATTTCGGGGTTTGTGCCTTTTTTTTCTTTGATTTGCTTTGCGCTTGTAATAGGTGTTTGAGCGCTGTTACAGTACAGGTGTTTGAGCGCTTTTCCCGCAGCTGCCCAGGCCCTCCTCCTGATCGTTACAGTACAGGGAGTCAAAAAAGCACAGTTATCTTGCTTCGAAAGAGTATGCCATTTGCCAGATATTGGTTGCAGTTAGAGTGAAATGTAAAATTACTGGAAAGTATTGGAACTGTAAATTCCAATACTTTGAAATGTGAATATTACTGAAATGAAATGTAAATTCCAATAAATGTAAATATTACTGAAAAAATTATTGAAATGTAAATATTACCGAAAATATTACTGGAAAAAACTACATTACTGGAAAGTAAGCTTAACTAGATCAAGCTAACTGCCGTTATTTGATTTAATTTTAAAAATTTTTGGCCTATATTTAAATGTTTATTTTTGGCTTATATTTATGTGCTAGTTTATCAGATTTATTCAATACCTGTACACTGATATGGGCCATGATAACGAATGCATCCTCCCGCAACTGATTTGCTGTTTCAAACAGCAACAGCGCATCGTCATCATCGGGCTCAAGCAAATCGCCGGGCAGCATAAATCTGCGTGTCGCTTCTGACACAGCTCCAGGCTCCAGTGGCAACGGCATACTCTCCTGCTAAAAACAAAATGATTCAGTAAAACGGGAAAACGTAACATTTTCCAAAGAAAGTATCAACCCTGCCAGAATTTGTTCTGATTTTTAGTAACCGAAAGAATCTTACTTATATCACCAAATTAATACCCGGTCCCCTCTCGCCTTCTCATCTTGGAGGGCCAATGGAATAACTGATTTCTCTTACTGCATACTAATCTGTCTCACTGACAGATTGGTATTCCGTTGTGTCAGGGACTAATACCAGTAATATGTTACAACGAAATAGAAGAATAGAAGGCTTGAATGTCACGTGTGTGAAGACATTTTATGACGCAGTCTGTGTTTCATCCCTTAGCTTTACACACAGACCGAACAGTGCATGCGGGTAGGAGTGGAAGTCATCAGTACAGCTTCCTATTCGCCATGTTTTGAACAGTCATGTGTCTAATTTGAACTTTCAAAGAAACCACCGAAATCTTTGCCTCCTTGTGCTTGCTTCTATTATGTATTATTCGAGCTATTTTTAAGCATCACGGGCATTATACAGAAGGCTGGAAGAAAGAGAAGGGGGAGCGGGGGGAGGTGGAAGAAGCTAAATGACAGGACAAAAGAAATGAGCGAGAGAAAATGTTGAAAGTGAAATATGTGAAAAAACGGGCAATGCTAATTTGTTGCGTCGCTTAACGGCATCACTGTACTTACAAAGGGAAGCCGACCAAGGTGGAAATAAATGAAAATCACTGAGTTGCAAGTTACAGTTACTTAGACCTAGCAATTCACACTTCTAGGAAGGTGCTACAAAACTGTACTGCCGCGTTATCAATTTATTTTTCATCCCTTCTTCTCTTTCATTACCGTCTTCAACTCATTTTACAAAAAACCACAACCATCGTACTGACAAGGTCCAGCTGTGGTGCTGAATAAGAATGTATACGACTTAACGGACCGAAACGACTGCTAAAGTACTATTTTTGTGAAATGTAATTGTATGAAGACTGTCTCTATTTCACCCTATGAATATGAAAAAAAAAAGACAAAATGCTTTCAATCTCAAAACTCTAAGAATGTTATTTAAAAGATAAACCTAAGCTCAGAAAAAAAAAAGACTTACAAGCTGTGTTATATGTTTGGCAAGTGATCGTTCGGCCAGTTTTGACACCATCTCATCCGTGTACAACCGTAACAATCGGCCGACGATGTACAGAAGCCCGGCATGCTGAGCCATCATATCTTCATTACCCGGCAAGAACGATAAACCTCGTAGGATGTTCGAAATTGCCAGGCAACGCCTCGTCTGAAAATATGCAAAAAAATGACCATAAATTGCAAAAAAACCTCGAAAAATTCTTTAGTAACCTCAAAAAATATTTGTCAAAATTCGAAAAAAACTTTAAAAAACTATCTATTCTAGCATGATTTAAGTTGTGCTTATTAAAAGCATGTGAGGAACGAGGTAGAAAAAGGGAAATACGTTTGCAAGAATAATATAATATTTTCCAAGTCTTCCCGAAAAAAGCGATGTAACTTTTCTCAAGTTCCCC